GCTGGTGCTGCTGGTGCTGCTGCTGCTGCTGCTGCTGCTGGTGCTGCTGCTGCTGCTGCTGCTGCCGCTGCTGGTGCTGCTGCTGCTGCTGCTGCTGCCGCCGCTGCTGCTGCTGCTGCTGCCACGTTGCCCCGAATCCTGCTACTGCAGCTGTCGACGGAAAAGGCAATGCATGACCTTGCTAACCTGAAACGACCATCATGATGACACTGCTACCTGAAACTTGTGGAGCACAGCCCAATTTAATACAACGAGGTCAGGCAGGATCAACTCCATCAACAGTGTATCGATGATCTTAACATCATAAGGACCAGCAGTACTACTGCTCTGTGTAGTGCTGATATCCGCCCAAATATATATATATATATGGTGGGACCCCTGGCACGGCCAACCAACCAGGGCTTGGGCATGCGGCTTTGAGTTCACAACGTAAGGGATTCAGGTTGCATGGTCAGGGTTGAGGGGGCGAGGCTAGGATTGATTGTGGATCATCCGAATGAGTTGGAAGTTTGAGAGTGGCTTAAGCTTCAAGATCCGAACACTAGCTAAACATGTACCAGTTCTGCCTGTAGAGCACATTAGCGACTGGACTGTTTTGGCATGAGAAACTGAATACGAGAGATGCCCCAGTCTCTTATCATACGCGGTTAGCTTGTCTGCCGAGGCCTCAAAAAAGACACCACGGCATATGTGTCACCTGAACTTGTAGCCGATCCTCCTGCCCTCTAGAATGACGACCCTATGAATATCATAGCTCAGTTTTCTCCTGATCTGTCTTGGGCTGCCAGATGATTCCGAATACAATGCAATCAAGACCCACCAAGCATAGACTTTTGGCCAAACCTTACAAAAACAGAGTGCTGTAAGGAGAGCTGCCTTGAATCGTCATGCAAAATGGGTAATCTATCTCATTCAAGAAACACCACAAAGTAGCCTGAATCTGTGATTTGAGGAAAGCCGACCGGATGGAGTCCGCCCTGGCATCAACCTTGGGTAGAGGCTGCTCCATGGATTGATGAATGTTCATGTTTTCGGGAAGCTCAACGATAAGGGCTATCCCTCAAGGTCTACAAGTAGCGGAATCCCCGTATAATTCGGAAGAGGCTGTTGATTGCCTAGAGGCCGGGCAAGTGGTCTCGGGGTGGATCTTAATAGTGAAAGGGGCAGCCCATTTTCTGTTCAGTTCAGCTTCTGCGTTTACAGCAGCAATGATGTCAAGCGATAGCATCTGGCAAGGAAGTAGTTCAAATCGAAGGCCAAGGTTCCTGCACGAATCCCAAGCCCTGAAGGCCGTCAGCTTCTGGGTGACCCCTCTCCTTCCATATGAGCATATACTGTTCTGGGGCGGTAGAAGCCTCTGCTTTGTGTGCAATTTGGTAACTGAATGTCTGAATACCAGATAGCTGACAGCAGAGGGTATGAGAATCGCTCGACGTGCAACATACTTCCCCTCTTTGCTTCCATTTTCACACTGGGGGATTTTGGAAGCCTTCTGGAGATATGCTTGCATGGAGATCCTCTTGAGTGTCCAGTTTGGGCGGTGAAATTGCGTCTGGCACCGAGAAGAGGCACATGACACGGCCCATGGAAGTGGCTGGGTTGCACTGGCAGCTGGCTCAATGCCGAATGAGGCGAACAACCGCAAGGGCTAGGCTAGGTGTGTAAACGTATGATCGATGAATTCTTTTCAATTCCCTCTCAAGAAATGGTTCTTGAGAACCCCACTCCTTGTTTCCCACACAGTCCTGCACGCCAGCACAAGGGGATCATGGATTTTCAGGGCGTATCCGATGTGATTTGTGTCGCAGCGCCCACTGGGCTACGATGCAGGTAACGCAGGGCAGAGTACAAACGTAGCTACATACGCATAACACTTCAACCTCTCAGCACGGGTCTGCGGATAACCCATTAGCCAAAAATCCTCCGGATCCTGAGAAGATGGTTCAGGCCTTCTGACGAAGGGAGGTAAGCCTCAAAGATGCCACGCCCGAAAAAAGAAACAACAAAAACGACTTGCCAAAAACCTGCATGAACCATATACCCTCAGTCCAGAAGAGGCCTTGCAGTTGCAGTTGCATTGTATGAGGCATGACAAGGTCTATGCTAAGAATCCGGTTCAGCACCTCACCCAAGTGGCTCTTTCCTATCATGCCCTGTTACATCCGCGGGAGACCGCACTGTCTACTCGCACGCTACGCTGAGACGTGGACCCCAAACCCTACTAAAAGGTCAGACCCGAAACCTGACGAAGTGTCTCACATCAGTCCCTACACCCTATCTATCTCCACAGGGCCCGCGGCATTCTGCGACTCAAGCCAGCTGACCTACGTCGCAGGTCAAGGTATGAGGTTCTGGGGATGCCCTAGTGATTTGTGTGTGTGTGTGTATATATATATATATGGGATGAGAAATGGGCTTTTGGTGGTTCTAAGATTCATGTAGGGTTTGTGCAGACTAAACACCACGTCAACAACTTCAATTGCAAAGACTGGTTTGGGGAGTTGTTGTACATGGCCTGCGGATTTGACTGTGTTTGCTTCTGCGCCCAATTGGCATTCGGATACTGAAAAACGACTGCATGCGAAAACGGGGCTACAGAATGCCCACACAACATTGTTGGGGGAGTTTTGTACATGGCCTGAGGATTTGAGTGTTCTTGCTTTCGAAAGCTCTGGGCCCAGTTTGGATGCTGAAGATAGACTGTAAGCCAAACATTGAGGGGTTAAAGAATGCCCACAAAACTTTGTTGGATGAAACGGATCACGCAGGCCCATTAGAAAGGAGTTTAGGTATCTCCTCCATCAGTAGGACCTTGTTGATGCTTGAAGAGGAAAAAAGACTCCCAAGTCGACCATTGCCCAAATGAAGAACCGCACACCTGAATGGCGGACTGCGGAAAAAAACAAGAGTTGCGACGGACATGGACAAGTTTTCACGGCCAACAGCTAGAGCATATCTAGATAGCTACACGCAAAGTCAGAACTCCTTCGTGTCCCCAAGGCTCACCATCTTCTGATCGCTGGAGAAGTCAACATTGCTTTCTGCAGACCACTTCTGGATCAGCGCCTCTGCGAAAAGATTCGGGAATATCTGGTTACGGTTTCGGTTTGGGATCAAAACTTTTGTGTCCGCTTTTGCGTGTCCCTATACTCAAAGGCTCCCCCTACTAGGGAATCTTTATCACAGCCCACTGTTGGAGAAACTTCCATATCGGGTACCTGCACTAGGGTAGCCGTGGATAAAACTAGGAGCGTTAATTCTTAACGACTCGCAGGAATGAAGAGCGCTTCGCGGTGAGATTTTGCCCAAGGTCTCTTCCTACGCACGAAAGACCCTTCGTCCTAAGCCCCAAAACACTCTACCTTCGAGGGCGGTACAGGAGGCAGAAACCTCTGGGAGAGCAAGCCGCCTTAGGGCTACCCACCTGCAACGGGCTTCCATCTCAGGCCTGAACAATACCCCCCGCCCCTGAACTAACATCAAAGCAAAAAAGGGCTGCGCCAAGACTACATGGTCCCCCTCTAAAAGTGCCACGTCTGGATTTGGGGTAGAGAATAGACGCTCAACCAGGGGCTCAGGCTTTGAAAGCCGAGGGGCCGGAAAGAGATAGCTAACGATTGACAGTTAAGCGTGTGGCCATGCGCTTAGTCGCATAGATGGTCCCTGATCTCCTCTATACATACAGACACACATATCTATAAGGATTCCGGGAGATATGTGTCTTCATATTTCAAGGGACAACCCAAGTAGATAGACTGCTTCGACAATCCCAGATTCTCAAGCCAAAATTCCAGATCCTCAAATCTCTACCAGGGCCACTGCAGAAGGAACCCCCCTCAAACCGTGTAATCTGTATAAGCATCATAAAAGTAATGGTGCTATTTTGTCCTGTGATGCCCCCGCTAGAAAGCACTACCACGCCCAGACCTCTCTGCTGTCCAACCCTAACCCCAAACCCAAAAGCTGAAATGCAAAAACCTGAACCCTACACCTTGCACCTGCGTGCTCACATCGTATGCCCCGAATCCCCTAAGCCCCCAAGCAAGACTTGGAATCCAGCTCCCTGAGAAAAAGAGGCTCGACTGCCACTATCCCGACTGCCTAGCCTGAAACCTCTGAGTGTTGAAAACCCTCGCCCGTGATCACAAACTCCAAACCCTAAACTGTAAACGTCCAAGCTGAAAGCCTGAATCCCTTAATCTCAAGCTCTCAAAACCCAAAACCCTGAACCATAAAACTAAACCCTCAACCACAACCAACAATGTAAACCCTGAGCCACAACGCTGCAAGCCCACACCCGAAACCCCCAAACGCCAAGCTCGGCAGCACTCCTCACCGCCCTTGTGGCTGAGCGTGGGGTCCGCTTTTTGAAGTCGCTTGATCAGGTGGTCCTTTTGGGGCTTACTGTTCGGCGGCGTGCATAGGATTTCATTCAGGGATGTAGGGTTTGGAGGGTTTGGAGGATTAAGGGATTCTGGGTTTAGGGCGTTAGCATGCGGACCGTATGGGGCTTATAGGGATCGTTCCAAACATAAATGGTCTTCTGACAAGGGGCTTTAGGGATGTAGTGAGTTGCACTGTGCTATGCGGAGAATAGGATACTTGTAGCAACGGCGGTGTCATGTTGAGCTTTCGTTCTGCACCAAGGTGTAGCCTCGCTGGCTGGAGGTTGATGCTGTGGAGTCTTGGGGATCTAGCTGGGGTGATTACAATAAGTGCGTCTATTTTTTTCGGGGTGACGTCGTCAGTTAAATCTTATCGGGGGAAGTATGGATTTTCTGCTGTGACGTACTTTAACCCTTGTTTTGAGTTGCGTTGCGATCCTTAACTGTTACTTTTTCCTTGACCTCGTGGGGCGACCCAGACTTCGCTCACGCTCAATTAAGACTAATTAGTAGAATCTGGCAGTAGAACCTGGAGTTTGTGGGATGCCTGGAGCACGCGGGGCAGCGGGATCAAGGGTCCCGTCTCAGGGCGTCGCTTTCCGCGGCTGGGCACAGTAGGTAGTTTGTGTTCTGATTTTTTTGAAAATAGAACAGCTCTAGACGTAGGGTCATTTCGGGTGGATTCAACCTTGGATCCAGGTTAACGTGGTTGGAGAAACAAAACAGCTCTAGGACACTGTCGCAGGGCCTTCTTGGGTGGATTCAAGCTCGGATCCGGGGTAAGGGGGTTGGAAATTGGAAAAGAAAAGCAACTCTAGGACACTGTCATGGGGTTGTTTTGGGTGGATTCAACGTTAGATCCGGGTTGAGAGGGTTGGAAAAGCAAACAGCTCCGGGACAGTGTCGTAGGGTCGTTTTGGGTGGATTCAATGTTGGACCTGGGTTCAGGGGGTTGGAAGGGCAAAACAGCCCTAGGACAGTGTCGTAGGGTCGGTTGGGGTGGATTCAACCTTGGATCCGGGTGCAGGGTCAGAGAATCAAAGCAGCTCTAGGAATTCAAGCTCAGGCGTCTACCAGCTCACCAGAATCATTGTGCTGGAAGTTATTTCTCTTTGTTTGTCTGCGTCTTTTAACTATCTTGAATCGGACCCTGGCGTCGCCGACGTGGTTACAATTCTCCCAGATCTAGGTCGTGATGCACCCTAGGCCAGGGATCTAAAGCTGAATGTGCAGTTCGACAGTTGCAGTATGCAATTTAACATTGCGCGCTTGGGCTCAGGGCTCAGGATTTACAGCTCTGGCAACAAATTTGGTTTGCTGCTTGGCTGTGGGGTTCCCCGTTCCCGCAGCAAGACAAAGCGGAAAAATGGGATAGTGGCAAATCTGGAGGTTAGGAAAATTCATACTGCATGATACTGACAGCTGTCCTACCAATAACATCTGAAATCGCACGTAGGACTGCGTCTCAATGACAAAGTAAGCATGTTGGTGTTCTAACGATATTCTAATTCCATAAGGGGCTTATCATCTTGAGGAGTATGGAAGTGTAGGGGGTGGTGAAGTGGAACCCCGAATGAGAACGCCCTCAATCATGACTCAATCTTGACGCATGCCCAGAATGAGCGCCAGTGACACACACGGGGATTGCTTTCCCTGGAGATTTTGCATGCGGTTCTGCTAAATTGGTGCTTCCCAATGTAGGTGACTCTTGGAGACGCGACGATATGCATGGGTTCCTTGTTGAGGAACCATGAAGCGGCAGCACATTCCATTTCAGGGTTACCCTCGCAAGCGGGCTTGCAGAGAGGACTTCACAAAACAAATGAAGAGGTCTTGACCTACTGGTCGCAAACCATAGCCTCCACTCTTCTAGAAGTCATAGAAACCCCAATATCACGCCAAAGCTTCATACATTTGCGGGTCTCAAGATCGCGGTCAGAATCTATGGTGTAGACCTTGGGACTATGATGTGAGCTCATGCTCCAACGCCGGCTCCTGCAACATCCTCCTCTTCACGCGCCAGAAGAAATATCGGCGCGAGTTTTTCCTGCATGAAACAGGCACTGAAATGCATTGACGTCTGCACAATTCAGGGTGAGCTCGTGCTAGCCGCTCTGTCAAGTTGATTCGGGCGCGTGTCCGCAGCGTAGTTCGGGAAATCACAGAGACTAGCAAATGATAGGCGAGCTTCAGAAAGCTTGGAAGTGATTTCTTTTGATTATGAAGGCCGCAAGGGCCGTTCAGGGGATAATGAGGCGGACTGCAAGGGGAGTTGCAGGAGGGCTTGAGGAATCGTGGAGAAGAATCAGAGGCTCTCCAGAGTGGCCACTTATTGATGTCGAACAGCGCATGCAGGTCCAACCAAATCTGTCATGATAACTTACGGGATCTGTATCACAGTCTAATTGTTCCATGGATATCATGGCGTTAATGCTGTACTGCGTACAAATGTAAGCGGAAAGCAATGGAAGGAGCTGAAGGTCATTCAACGTAGTTAGGTGTTCCGCAGCACACTCGCAAATCACATTGCAGAATTAGGAATGCCTATAAACTATATCACCATCGCCAAAAAAATCAACAATATGCTTAACCACTCCACACCCACAAGCTGCTCTACAAAAACTTATCCAATACTACATGACCCCAGCGCGTGTCCTACTCTGCCGATTCAAGCTATTGGTGAAGATGCAACGGTCCAGTCAATGCTGTCGCGGATGACGTTCTTTGCTTTCATGCGCCCAGCTCGGTCGTGGAGGTCCGCGAAGGTGGTCTTAGGCAATCAAAAGAAAGCAGATTCCAGCTCAAGGCATAGATTTTTGAAGAATATTTTCCAAAGCAACAGAATACCGAAACCACCATACATTCCCTCACAACAAGCTGTTTCCTCTGGCTCCTGACGCCACGGCTGCCCCACAGTCTAAACCCCTCAAAGCTTGCATCTGAAAGTCGGTCAATGATGAACTTGCTGTGAGGGTTCAAGGCTTAGGCGAGCCGTGAAGGCTCTAGGAAGAACTAGCTCCTGCCAGCCCCGAATCCAATCCAAACCCAACGTTTTCGACGTTGAGCCTCAACACATGAAACCTCAAGCCTCAAGCAGCTGCAGGAAACTCACACTTGGCTTCCCGCTGCTACAGAGGTGTACAGCGGAAGCCTGGGCAATGCGGGGACTCTTGCTGGGGTTTATTACGGTCTATCTATGGGTTTACGCGTTGAGGAGTAAGGGCCCAGAGATGATGTTGAGGTTGTGGTGATATATGCGCGATTCCTGCTACCGCACCCCAAGCTACTGTGGGACGAAAAAGAGGTGAGGCCCTAGCGATAGCTGCCAGGATACTCTTATCATCGGAATCTTTGGAAACAGGACCCTCAAAAGGGACCCCCGATCTAAGCTGCACCAGTTCGGGCTTGGTGAAGGCAGTGCCATCTTCCCTGTCTGCCCAATCATCCCATTCAGCGTGTCACGGATTGTTCGCATCAGATCATCCCAAATCCGTTGAGCGACTAAGTGCGGAAAGGAAAGTGAATGAGAAACCTAGTCTTGGGATTTGGACGTTCGAAACTTAGAATCAGTCTGCCAGCCCCCCCCCCCCCCCGCCGCCCCCGAAAGCAAACATACCTGAAACCGAATATGTTGCAAGTTCCAATGCTCTTTGGCTTTCGGCTACAGGTCATAAACACATGATAGACAGCCAGTTCTGAGACACCCAGAAAGAAGCACAGAATCATGTGTTCCAACTGTGCTTACTTCATTCGCGCAGCAACAGAAACGTTTGAAATGCTTAGCCTCGCCGCAGACCCAATAGAAACCCTGCCATTCCTTTCATGTATTACTACTTTAAGAGGCATTGTTTACTTTTACTGTTCTGGAGTTTATCATTGTTCATGTAGGGCGAGCATTACTCGTTGTGCGACCAACGGGATCTATCCCTAGGCAACACGAACCTAATCGAGCTTCTGTTTGCACTTCACCAGGAGACAGCAGGCGGAAACATCAGCTACATCGATCAAGCACGCAGTGGTCTTTTCAGATTTTGCATGAGAGACCGTCTTCTGTGTGAAGCATCCCCAGAGTCTTGAAGCAGCGCAAAGTGTGCGTATATATATATATATAAAATCAAACCTGAAATGTCAAATATACGATACTGGAGGTCTCATACAGCGGCAGGCCTTCCGAATCCCCTTGACCTTAAACCCTACCCTTGAATGAGTTGTTGAAAGTAATCCTTGACTGCACGTAGCTGAGGATGGTCCACTTCTGTGTACAAAGTGCTCATGTTTGAGCATTGAGCTTTCACTCACTGGTGGTCAGTGGCAAAAAATGACCGAATGAGGAATTTCCCTTCCCAGGGAAAATATCTGGACTACTGTAGGGATCCACTTTTCAAATTTCCTACGAGCTACTGGCCACCAGTGAGTTCAACTGCTGGTGATGTGCCAGCTCACGCTGGGTGAGTGGTTGTCCAGAAACCAGCTGAACTCTACACTCTTCCCCCCAGTGGCTTGGATTATCAGGTTAACGTGTGGGCCCGAAGCGTGCTGCTACAAACGCGCGCCAGCGCTCTCCACCCTACTCACATCTATGAATACCCATAAGGCGGCACAACTTGAAGCGTGAAATTCGAAGCACACACATCCGCAAGGAGGACTGCAGTTTGGATCCCACATATATGCATGATACCCGCTGCCTAGCTCCTTTGGTGGAGTCTCGAAAGAGCCGCAGGAGTCGGGGAAAACAAAAGAATTAACAAGCCGTGCAGCACCATTCTCGATCAGGACGGCAGATTTGCTACGCGGCTTCGTGCACAGTATGACTTTATAAGTGGCCCTATGTCCGTGACTCGGAGAAGACATGCAACTACCATACACTAAAACCAAAAAACGCGTTTTGCTTTGCTGGATAGGGACCGCCGCAAGTGGCTACAGAGGCAGAGCATGGACGTTTCATGGCCCCGCAGGAATGCACCCGGAAACAACGCTGGATCGTGTGCGGTCAGTTTCATGTTTAGATTCTTTTCGAGCTTGGGCCTATGCCCTCCCCTGGTCAAACTCCCAAGTCCGAAGTTGTGTGGTAGTGTGGTCAGGGCTCAAACGCCAGAACCAATCCTGGACCTTTGCATCTAGGACCTTTGACCCCTACCAGCTTCATTCCTAAAGTCTGAACTCTCTTTAACTTCCATTGCCCAACCCCAACCCCGCCACGTTTTCTTCCATCACTGGCAGCAGTCATGAAGGATGTCTGGTACCGCAGTGAACTTTAGACCGTATGGGTCACCAAAAAGCCTATGCTCTATATCCTAAACAGCCCCCTCTTTCTGGAAGCAATGCCACCCAAGCCCTAAACCAGGTGGAAGCGGCAATTGCCCCCTAAACCTGAGCCTACATCCAGGGTAAGCTCACTTTGAAAGGGCTCGCGAGCAGTTTGGGGCGGCGGAGCCTCCCAATTTGTCCGATCACAAGTCTGGTAGTTCAGGGTATTTCTGGTTTAAAGCCTTGGCGCCTTGAAGACTTGCGGTGTCTGGGCAGCATCTTTCAGATTAATGACTGGCATTTAGCCCAAACCCTACACCATTAGCAGGACATTCAGGATTAGGATTGTAGAGCACAGGAGCCGAGACGTCGGCGTGAACTGGATCACGATTCGCGATTGGGACCTGTACCTACTAAAATCTAAACAAAATTCGAAGGCCTCACACGATCTGCTTGTAAGCTATTACCTGAGCTTAGCGTGATGGCCTGAAGACTTGCCAGAGTTCCCATGAAATCTTAGCTTGTTTGAGGAGGAACTGCAAAAACTTAAGCAGAGCCAAAGTCAGATCCCAACGAACTGCAAACATTAGCCGTGCACCCTACAACCAACACAAGGTCCTGCAGACAAATAATTCAGGTGACTCAGAAAAAGCTGCCGTGCATCTAACCTGTACTGTAGTGGCGCCCAATTACTCCCCACGGGGAGTATCTGGAGGGTTTGCACGGATGCGAAAAAAAGGATTTGCCTGAGACTTCCTGCGACAGGACACCTACCAACTTGTGATTTGTTAAGCAGGTCTTGGGTGGGGTGCTCAACACCACTTCACAGAAAGAAACGAAGTGAAGGCTCGGCAGCGTCTCCAGAGTCACATGTCTCGAACATGTTTGGAGAGGTTGCAAAATGCTAGGCAACTAGCAGGCGTTGTGAACACTGCTTCGAGGACCTACCGACCACATCTCGCACAGAAACTCGGTATCTTAGGCCTTCAAACCACGCCAAAAAAAGCCTCTGGCCATGTCTAGAAATTTACTGTTGGCACCGAAATCTTGCACAAACCTGCTATACGGAAACAATGGCTTCACAGGTTCCAGTTGCTTTTAAAGCCAATTCTGGGCTCCTAGTACCAGAGGAGCAGGCATGTGACTCAAGCCTTTCTGTGACAGCAGATACTCCCCGACGAAACACCTGAGAGTGCTTTTCCATCAGGCCTATGCGTGTGATATTATGTTGTTTCGGGTGTCGGGGAATTTGCAGTGTCAAATAGCCTGTGGGTCCCTTCGTAGTTCTTCTAGTAAGGGCAAACATGTTTGGGTTATAGGTTCTCCCTAAACCTTCAAGCGGGCCATGATTCTTGACAGGTTACAGCGCCAAGGCTCACGCGACTTGAAGGGAGAAATATATATTCTGTATATGTATAGTCATGCGCATGCGAGCTACGAGAAAGTTTTGTTGAAGTTGAGGTGCGTGGGGACAAATTATGGTTGAACCAGGGTGATTAGAGTTCTGCGTAACATTGGTAACGTGTCTTTTGCACACAGGAGTTTCGCAACGTGGGGCCCAAGGAAAACCAAGAAGTACAAGGAATACACAGCAGATAGTCAGGAGTGCTTAGCTGTTTTAGCGCTTTAGGGATTCTATATAGCGGGGTCTTGAGAAATACTCAGATTGCACAGAAGGAAGATCTCAGCCTTCTTGGTCGATGCGAAGCCTGCACCCAAATCCCATCGTTCCCCAGATCTGCTGCAGTGTTTTGGTTGGTTCAGGTAACCACCCTGGCAAGCAAGCCTCCAACTTCCGAAGGGACGTCAAAACACTACAGCCCGGGTATCCGAACATCACTGTGCAGCTGCTTGAACCGATGTTGTTTGACCCTCCTTCCCAGAAACCCTCATAACTATGCCCTATATAAGCTCTAATCCAGATCCAAAGCCCCAAGCCTCATCGTCAACCGCCCTTAATTCGCACTGAAACCCCAAACGCCAAACCCCAAAACTTTCTAAAACCCTACCTTCCTTGCATCAAGATACTCCCAAAGCTTTGGCGACTCCATGCTTTAGACGATTTTGCATCGCTGGCGCTGGACCTGAGTTCCACAAGAATTTGTGGCTGAGAGTCTTTTGGTTGAAGGCTCAGGGAGTCGAGTCAAGGATCTGGGGCTTGGGAACAAGGCTTTCAAGACCGGGGTAGTATGGAAATTTAGGTGTCAGAGTTGAAGATTTAGAGTTGATGGCTAAGCGGACATGGCGGGGGGTTAGAGTTCAGGCTTTTGGGGGGATGGGTTCGGAAAATGCAGCTCTCACGCCGTGCTTTGAAGCCTGGTCCTGCTGGCGTGATGCTAAAAGCACTCACTCAGGGCCGCCACGTCCTGTACATTCCATTCCAGTACCAGTGTGAGATTTGCTAGCAAACATCCGAGAGAAAAAGCATGTACCCAGTTCAAACAGCAGACACCCCATGCCTGCAAACATAATTCCTAGCACTGTATTAACTGTAGGCGGAAGGCTGTTCCCACAACGTCTGTTGGGAATCCCATACTAAAGATTTCAGTGTTCTGCGGGTATAAGCCACGTGCTCAACCCTAAACCCCTTAACGCAATATGGGAAGGTTGTATAGGGATTACAGGGTATATAGGGACAATGGAAAAGAACATGAAGACTTCTATAATGGGTTCTATCGGAAGTTCCCGGAAGCTTCATGAAGGAAAGCCGCGGCATGCTATCAGCACGTCGTAGCTCAAGAGGAGGAATTCCTGTTGCTGACCAATACTTAACACGGGGGGAAGGGGGGGAAGACAGACATGACAAGGGGGGAGAGGTGATGTTGCCGGTGGGTTTGTATATTTTGGATTTAAGATGTTTTAAACTTCGGGGCTTGTATGCGTCGCTCGCCTCTCTTGAGCAGG